GCTTGCATCCATAGATGCTTCTCAAGCAAATCCCGGGACGTCATTCTCCCCCTGTACTCGGCCTTAGTGAGGCCGCAGCTGGAGTACTGTGTCCAGTTTTGGGCTCCACAATTCAAAAAGGATGTGGAGAAGCTTGAGAGAGTCCAGAGAAGAGCCACGCGCATGATCAGAGGTCAGGGAAGCAGACCCTACGATGACAGGCTGAGAGCCCTGGGGCTCTTTAGTCTGAAAAAGCGCAGGCTCAGGGGTGATCTGATGGCCACCTACAAGTTTATCAGGGGTGACCACCAGCATCTGGGGGAACGTTTGTTCACCAGAGCGCCCCAAGGGATGACGAGGTCGAATGGTCACAAACTACTTCAAGATCGTTTCAGGCTGGACATAAGGAAGAACTTCTTTACTGTCCGAGCCCCCAAGGTCTGGAACAGCCTGCCACCGGAGGTGGTTCAAGCGCCTTCATTGAACACCTTCAAGATGAAACTGGATGCTTATCTTGCTGGGATCCTATGACCCCAGCTGACTTCCTGCCCTTTGGGCGGGGGGCTGGACTCGATGATCTTCTGAGGTCCCTTCCAGCCCTGATGTCTATGAAATCTATGAATTGGGGTTTGGGGTTACTTTTTTTTTTTAACCCGAAAACTGGGGATTTTCTTTTTTTTTTAAATCAAAGTAAACCAGGATCCCTGTTCATCAGGCATAGGATAGAGCAGAGGCTGCAGTGTGTCCGAAAGCTTGCACATAGAAAGAAAATAATGTCCTTGCAAATATCTAGCTGATCTAATAAAATATATCACCTCTTCCATCAGTTTGGATTCCTTTTGCCTCTAGCTGGATGGATACCTGGTTTCCATCAGTGCACGTGGAAAACCCACCAGAGCCCCGACACACCTACTACCTGCCTGCCTACCCACCCCACCACTCCAACAGGAAGTTGCCGAAGCTGGAAGTACAGCCTCGAGCCCCCGGGGGGGCCGGCGGAGAGAGGCACCCGGCTAGAGCGTCCGCCTCCTCGCCTGTCCGGAAGTGACGCGACACGGAAGCAGGGCTCCACTGCCCGCTTCCGGAGGTGGCCTCGCCCCGTTGTTGTTGGGAGCGGGCTTGCCGGGAGGTTGGGGAGGGGCGGCCCGGGCCGGGATGGGGCAGCGGCAGTTCCGGCCCCGCCGAAGCCGCGGAAGGAGGAGCGCCTGAGCAGGAGCAGCCGGACCCGCTCCTCAGCCAAGCCAAGGGGCTGGGCAGTGAGTATTCCACAGCACCGCCCCCCCCCTCCCCGTCACCGGTGAAGCTCCGCCCTTTTGTTGCGTCGCGGGTGAAGCCTCCCCCTCTCAGGGGAGCTGGGCACGTGCAGGCCCCTAGGTGCGAAGCTGGCCCGCCCAGGGCCAGGTACATGCAGCCTTGGGCAGGCAGCACAGCACGAGCAAATGCCTGGGTGGCCTCGCTCCCTTGGAGGAGTGGAGGAAAGGGGCGTGGGGGATCAGGGCAGCACCTCTGTGCCCAAACCCAAAATGCTTGAGGCTGCCAGGGGCAGGGGAACGGGGAAAACGCCCTGTCACACCCACTTCTTTCTCCCTTTCAGTCTCTGCTCCCTGTCGCTGCACAGCCTGGGCCTTTTGCAGTGCTAAGAGGTGTTGTGGGCCGGTGTCTGCAGAGGAAGCTGAGAGCCGCTGGTAGAAAGGGAGGCTGCTAAGGATGTAGCAATTAATTTTTTTTTAGGGATGACAAAGGGTTGGGAACGAGGTCATAGGTTCAAAATGAGCACATGGAGGGGAGGCACAGAGCAGAGCATGCTGGATGGTGTCTGCTGGCCCTTGAGTGCATCCAAGAAGTCAGTGGATGCTGCCCAGTGAAAATGCCCAGAGACCTAGGCAGACCAGGGGCAGGAAAATGACCCCATTATCCCTGGGGGCTGCATGTGACAGGACTATTTGATATGCATTGGGAGCGTGGGCTGTTTCCCTCCCAGTAAAGCTAAAAGACCCCGTTAATCTGGAGAGGGACAATAAGTGCACATCAAGTGATTACGGGGTACAACTAAAGAAGGGAACAGGGACAGGAATGAGGGTCAAAGGTTCAAAATGAGTGCTTCAAGGGGGGCACAGCACGCAGAGCCCACCAGACAGTGCCCACTGGCCCTCAAACGTGTCCAAGGAACCAGTGGATGCTGCCCGGTAAAACTCTGCTCAGAGAGTGGATCAGGGACAGTAAAATGGTCCTGCAGTCAAAGGCCTATTTGACATACATTGGGAACCCACAGAGCAGCAGTTTGTCCCCCCTGTTAACAGAGGGCTATTGAATATGTGCCAACTGAATTTGTGGGACAAAAAAGACAAAAACAGGGAGTGAGGGTCAAAGATTGCCATTGCCTGCCTGGAGTGCCCGCTTGCCAGCGAGTGCAGCGGCGGGGTGGGGGGGAAAGTAAGCAAAGTACACCAGACAGTGCCCACTGGCCCTCAGAGGCATCTAAGGAGTCAGTAGCCACTGCCTAGTAAAGCTCTGCTCGGAGATATGAGTGAACAACGGACAGGAAAATGGCCCTGCAGTGCCTGGGGCTGTGTGGCAACAAAAGACTAGGCAAGATGGATCTATGGCCTGACCCAGTAAATAGCAATTCTTATGAAATAAATTGATGCCTAATGGATCTGGTTGTTTCAGTATTTTGTCTGGCAGCCAACCCCAGCCTTTACAGAGAGACAAGCCCTTTTGCCCATTAAGTACCTAGGAAGTATCCAGATTAACACTTTGCCTCGATCAAATGGGGTTCTGGCAGGGGAGACAGGTAGCTAGCCATGTTAGCTTTTGAAAGCTTGTGCTTCTCTGAATTAGTCCAGGTCGGGGGTGAGCAACCCGGGGCATAGGTGCCACAAGTGGCATAGGGAGCCCCGATGTGGCAAGCAACAGATCAGGGAGCAGACGGGTAGCAGATAGGGCAGGGTGCAGAAAGCAGAGCAACAAATCAAGCAGGGAACACATGGAAGAGAGAGAAAGATCAGGTGGAGAAAAGGGATCAGAGTGGCACTTGGGCAGGGTGCAGGGCTAATTTCTGGCGCACCTGCACATAAGCTTGGCCCTAGTTGGTTTAAAATATGCCACTCTGTCTTGCCTTATTGTGACAAGGAAAGGGGAATAAGCAGGGTCAACATAGGGAGCCTTTTTAACTGGCTTAATTATGTTCATACTTTGGTGGAAGTTGTCAATATAAAGAAATCAGTGAAAAATATATATCATATTCCTCATTGAAACATTTAAACTGGTGTAGAGCCAGAGGGTAAGCAAGCAGAAAGATCCTTTAAAAATGTTAGGTAATGTGATTTGAAGCAACTTCTTTAATTAAAGTAGTTTAATTATTGAAAATCACAATATAAATATAGGTACAGTTTAATAGCTTTATTTTGATTTAGTCGGATCGTGCAAGGGGTCCCATTTAGGCTGTGACTTTACCTGCTATAGTCTAGCTGAAGATGTTAAATTGTGCCTCTTCTAGGGTTGAATAACATTTTCAGCTGCTTTACGATAGCTTGTTTTGAGTCAGCTCATTCGGGAAAGGAAAACATGTTTTTTTCCTTAATTCTGCTTAACTTCACATTTAGTGTAGATGTAGACAAGATACCTACCTACCTAGTTTTAAGGGCACTGGTGTCTGCACTAACTGCTAATTAGTGTTTCAGCGTGTTACCTAATGGGAAAAAAATCTTCCTTTTTAAACCTAGCGAAAAGTGGAGTAAAAGCTTTTCAGCCTCTCTGAATATTTATCCCTTGGGACTCCCATGCCTGCTTTTGTCCTTTTAAAGAATATATATTGATTACATTCTCTGATAAAATCATGGAATAGATGTCTGATGTGGTATTCTGTGTTTATTGGTTTTGGACTTCTCTGCATATCTTTCAGTCTGCCCCAGAACACTCAAAGTGCACCCATTCATATCAGTGGCGTGCCATGGGTCTCCAGCACCCCGTGGGCCAATGCTTGCAGTTGCCCCCCCCCCGCCGTAGCAATACTTAGTCATGTCACACGATAAGAACTCTGAAGGGCCTGGTTGGCGCCCCCGCTCTGCCCCTTCCCCCGCTATGATATAGCTGGGTTCTGAACCATTAATTCATAGATTCATAGATGTTAGGGGCTAAAATCATCAGGTCCAGCCCTCCTGTGTCTGGGCAGAAAAAACTGCTGGGGTCATATGATCCCAGCAAGGTGTGCATCTAGACGTTTTTTGAAGATATCCAGACTAGGTGAGTATGCCACCTCTAGGGGCAGTCTGTTCCAGATCCTGGACACTCGAGTTGTAAAGAAGCTTTTCCTTGTGTCTAATCTAAAGCGGTCTTCTAGCAATTTATGATCACTAGTCATAGTCTTCCCCTGGAGAGCCCCGGGGAATAGATGTTCTGCCAGTCCCTGGTATGTGCCCCTTATGTACTTATAGGCTACCACCAAGTCCCCTCTAAGTCTTCTCTTCTCCAGGCTGAACAGACCCATGGCTCTCAGCCTCTCATTGTATGGCCTACTCTCCATACCTCTAACCATACGCATTAAAATGCTTTTAAATATCAAAACAAATTGAGACTTTGAATTTTCTGTGGAAGGACAGATGCTGGCTGATATGTTTGTTGAAGCCTGTCCAAGAGGTGAAAATGGATTATTGTATTTTCCCAAAGGTGTAGCCTGTCTTCTTCCTGCTACCTTCAAGCTGTAAGCAGATGTTTTCAATGGAGCACGATCAGCTGTGCCACAATATGATCACGCTTCAGAGACATCTGTAGATGTCCCCAGTTGCCGTGCTAACTTGGGGCACATCTACAAGCGGGGAAAACTCAAGGCTCCCCTCCTTCGCCCCCCGCCCCCCATTTGCAGGCATGCATCCCTTTGCAAGGGATTCCCCTATACAAGTCTGCACTCACAGAGAGTGGGACTCACACAGGGGTCCCTTCTCCATGTTTGCAGATGCACAAGGAAATCCCTCTGCAAGGAAGGTGAGTCTGGGTAAGCAGGAAAGCAAAGCTGGCATTCCCAAGGCTTGAGGGGGCCAATCCCGGTGTCCCAGCCCTGGGGAGGGTGGAGAATCCCAGGAGCTTCACAATGCCATAAGCATGTTGCCCTGTGCGGTCAGGCCAATGCTCAGGATCTCAATATTGTGCTGTTAGAAGGGCGTGGTGTACAATTGCACATACACACAAAAATCAGTTAGATGCACACACTCTAGTTGCATACACCCCCACCAGGCACAGACACTACCAACTCAGGCACATACACACCCAAAATTACCAGCCTAGGCAAATGCACACCTATCACCAATTCAAGCACCTGCACACACCAAAAGTTAGACAAAAATCAATTGTCAATACTCGCACACCCAATACACATACACAGGTCACTAATTCGTATATCACACACACAGTGACATATATATATATTCACCAGTTCACGTACAAACCACCCACCTACACATACACACAGATGAGTTCCTTACTTGGATGGTACAGTATGTGTATGTGTGTTTGGGGTACTTAGGATGCCTGGGGGAAGGTTAAGGTGAGAGGGAAAGTGTAAGGAGTGAAAGTTGCTGGAGCCAGGATTAGAACCAGTAGACTAGAGAGAAGCTGGCTGAGGAACTGAGGCTTGGGGTTACTTAAAGTCAAATGGCCCCAGGGTTACTCAAGGTCACTGGTGCAAGGGAAAAAACCGAGGGGCAAGGAGGAGACAGCCAGGAAAGAGAGAGAGACAGAAACCTAGAAGCTTGGGACTGGAAACTGAGGCAGACAGCCGAGAGATTGGGGGGAAGATAAGTGGTAGCAAGGGTGCAGATAAGTGGTAGCAAGGAGGAAACAGTCAGGAAACAGACAAAAACCCAACTTGGGGTTTCAAAATAACAGGTTTTATTAAACAGACAACACACTACACAGCCCCATGAAGTTATTGGTTCCCCCACACACACAAGCACTCACAATGGCAGCAGGGGAAAGAGACTCAGTGGAAGGGCTGGAGTCCAGGTAGGGAAGAGAAGCATTGTCCAAGTCCTTGGTTGAAGAGGGGGTAGAGGATGATAGTTACCGATCCAGGCTGGAAAGGGGTCTTTGTCCAGCAGGTGTTGTCCAGAGCGGGGTTTGCCAGCAGGGCCTCTGAGTGGATAGGTGGTATGATGTGGTGCTGGTCCAGATGGAGAGGGCGTCCCAAGGAGTCAGTCTTCACTACCCCTTTTATGGGGCAGACTACCTCTGATCTCCTGTGGGGAGGGCCTGTCCAGGC